GGGGCTCAATTCCTCCCGGTGGCGCAATAATATGGGCCGGATCCTCGGGCTGTGCCCCTCGTACCGCGAGACATATCACTTCGTGGTCCCTCCTGCAATAGTGTGTGTCACCCCGGGTTTACCTCGGTCTTTTTTCTTCTCATCCTTGTCTAATGCATTTTGGCTGGGTTTCAGGAAATCAGAGCAAGAGAAATGGTCCTTGGGAGCCTTGTTCATCGTCGGTACTCTTTTCGCCATCTTTAGAGGACAGAGTATTGTATGCAAGCGGCGCTCGTTACACAGCAGACACTAGACACTCGGGTGACAGTACAACGCACAAGAGACTCATAACAATTCGTTTTCTTCCACATCCACATTGCCCTTTCAAGCCACCTTGACGATCACTTTCTCGCCGCTGATCTTGTTGTTCCTAAGCAGATCCAAGCCCGTCGCGCCACGCTCCTTGACATCCCCTGGTCCAGCAGACGGACCCGATTCGGCTGGATGCGCCCCGCTGAAACGGTGCAGTGGCGTGCAGCCGTGAAATCTAATGCTAACTGAGTAAGACCTCAGTCTTAACTCAACCCAACAACTAACAACAACCAACTCCTGCTTTATCGTATTTGTGTTCGAGGGGGTAGGCCAGGCGTATCGACCGTCAATTTCAATAGCGTGACACTGGTTTGCTCTGAAAAGGTCCTCAGAAGGGCTTTCAACAGGTTTAACAGCCTTTCGGCGACAGGTATAGATATTCTACTAGTGGTGCACAAAACCGTAATTAAATTGGGATTTTGGCGAACGACAGCGCCGCTGGGTAGCTGACTGATTTTACAAGTGGCGGAGGGCAACTCAAGACGTTCCATACGCCAGGAGATGGTTCCGCCAAATGGTAAGGTTTTTCCTGGAGCTCAAGATAATTCCTTTGTGTGTGGCGCGACTACAGAGTAGTGGCGCAAGCCGAATGGCGTGGGTTCCGATGGCGCAGAGCAACTCAATGATGTTCCGTACGCCACCAGCTGGTTTCCGCCACACAGAGACCCAAACAGTAACGGCTTTTTATGGGAGGTCGTGGTCCCGACCTCAGTGTTTTGAATCAACCACGATTGTCAATGAACAGCGCGGCTACGAATAGCTCTGCAACTGAACAAGATGGATGCCGATGGCGCAGAGCAACTCAAGGACGTTCCATACGCCGATAGTTGGTTTCCGCCACACAGCAACCCCAATAGGAATGGACTTTGGCGTATGAACAGCGCGGCTATGAATAGCTCTGCAACTGAACAAAGTGGCGGGGGCCGAAGACGGAGGGACAACTCAGGCTTACGCCAAGGGAGTGTGTGCGTCAAACGGGATAAGGACCAGAGGCCTTATAAGCTGCTAAGAGCTAGGTGCCATTAAGGGGGGAGTTATTCACTGTCTAACTACTAATTTACATGCGGCTTTTATACTATGAGAGGGGTTGATCCCAACTAACTAAGAGAATGATAAGCGGTCTTTACAAAATGATGAACTGATCTGAAGCGAGATATATCCTGGTAGTTGGGCAGACTTAGAGGTGTCTGCCCGGGTATTATTTGATGGTGTGGCCGCCAATCACCCGCAAGTTCTGTTTAAGCCACCTCTGCTTACAATCTCCTCGCGTAGACTCGGTTAGGAGCGTCTGCAGTCCTCCGCAGTCTGATTAGTTGATGGGCTGACTGAGCCTTTTATTATCTCTTGGCACCCAAGTTCAGTGACCACCAACTGCTTTTGGATGAAGTCATGTGATTGCTTTAGGGCCGGTCTATTACAGGTGGCGTAGCCTCTGCGCCAAGTTCAAGCGGCGTAGCCTCTGCGCCAAGTTCAAGTGGTGTAGCCTCTCCGCCAAGTTCAAGTGGCGTGCTCGCACATTATATCTTTTTACAGTTGTGGCGTGACTTCATTTGGCGTAACTTCGGACTGGCGCAGACTTGAGCATTGTCATGTGACATAACTGGTTCATTTCTCCCCTCCACCATTATTCCATTGGCGGCACATCTTTTGAGTTCAACTCGCAAGCCAAATACTATTATTCTGGTGGCACATGTAGCACTTTGTAGGTTCCAAATCAAATAGCTTTCTTGTTATCCTTCCAATGTCCCTTGGTTGCCTCGTGCCCATATTGACATCGAGCTTACTGCACAAAAGTACAGCTTGCCGGATGAGTTCTATGGCTAGCCAGTGGGGTTGAGTCCGAGTCGCATTCTCTAGCTTTGTATGAAAGCCGCAATGGCATCCTCGGTCTCCTTGGTTTATCACTAGTTTGCAGCACTGCTAACGGCTTTTAGTGCTCAGTTCCGGGAATGTAGCTAGCACCCTGTGTGTCTTACGCCTCCCCGTCATAAGGCTGGAAACATGCAAAAGCAGTAATTTCAGGGGTGCACGGATGCACACCCTATCACCGCGGCCAGCAGTTGTGGCAGTATCTTGGGCTTCAGATTGACCTTCAGGTATTCGTTCTGCAACAATACCCGTAACCGTGCTGTTCCGTCTCACGAATGCGACGCGCCTCTCAGTAATTGAGCGTCCGCACATACGCGATCCTGTCCCGGCACGAACGGATTCCGCCCTTCGGGGAATCGGATGGCTGAGTGCACTGACAGATATGGATCCGCCGAAGCGCGGGGTGCTCGCGCAGAGACTCAACACTGCCACGGTCTAGACCTCCAATTTCCTTTTTCAGACAGCTCCATTTTCCACCGCAGGCCCGGAAAGATGGGCACCGTTCGAACCCGCTTAGAAAGCCCCATCTGCTGCAACAAACCGCGGAGCAATATTTCACGAATTGAAAGAGTTTGAAGGCATTTTTTCCTGGTTTCAAGGACTGTCAGCCACGCCCGTTTAAGTTTATCCTTGTTTACTGCATATTCCAGCCCCCAGCTCGTCACGTGTGTTAAGGAAGATTTGCTCGCTGCGCTCGCAATGACATCATGCAGTGCCTCGTCACGTGTGGCCAACGGTTGGCGCCCCTATCCGTCCACTACCATGGCTCTCCACCCTGTAGCGTCAGCCTCATCTCTCTCCGCTCTTCGCTTGGTAGTACACAATCTTATAGACAAGTTCGACTTTGCGTCGTCGTCGACTATCTCAATGATCTCTCCCGTCCCAGGCCTCGCACAGAACAACACAGTGCCGATTCCCACTGCTGCGCCAACCTACTGCATGCTTCTCCATGCCTTCGCAGACTACAGCCCCGCATTGCTGGAGCCCATAATTCCTGGCTATAATTCAATTCAAGTCGCACACGACTTTATAGTTGCGACTTTTCTTGTGAATTACGACAACCTGTTTCGCGTCTATTTGGAACTTAACTCGTTCCTAGTGACTGATGTGTATATCAGAAATAGATTTTCTCACCTTCCTCACTTAAAATAATCCTCAGCGCATTCAGCTACCAAAATCTCGACCCCGACGCCCTTGGTTCCACTTCCACCCAACGACGCCGCCCCCTCACGCAATACAGCGCTGAAAGCCGCGGTTTGTTTCTTAATTCTCGTCCTTCAGAGCTAGAAACTGATAAATTCCCAGGTGCAAGTGCGAGATGCTTATGTTTGCCGCCTCACGGGCTACATACACACCAGCTTCACGGCGCCGTTCACTGCCCAGGCGCGCGCCTTGCCATATCAACAAGCAGCATTCCAGCAGACGAATAGATATGAAATGGATGAATTGGAGGTTGTTCACGCCATACCCTGGAATCCGGGGCAAGTGGTTTGTGATCCAATATTATATTCCAGCGGATGTTGTTGATGATCCTGCAAGTTCCATACCGTGCTCCGGCGACTGGTTGGATTCCATCTTCCGGCCCCAGACACCGCTGAGAAAATGGCGGTCTTGGTGCATGCCGTCCATAGTGACTTTACGAATTTCCGCATTTACTTTGATGAACAGGTACGTATATCCGCCCCCTTTTCCTCTCCTTTGCTTAGACCTTCTAGTGGATATTACACTTCCGAACATCGTCTACAGGATATCCTCGTCATTGCCATCGAACCCTGGTCCCCAGGTATCAAAACCAACGCTTGGATGGCCTTGAAAAGCTCGGAGCCATTTCTCTTTGCCGAGATGTCTATAACAGCAACAAGACCCCGCTCCCATCTCAACTCTGGTTTCAACTACATCGCCTCATCGGTGATGTATTCTATGCGTCCGGCCGCGCGCAAGAAATACAGGATGAAATTGATAGAGCGAACGAAATTGGTGCTCATATTTTGAGCCAAGAAAATACGGTGCTTCTTCAGCTTGGCCTTCAAGCTCTCCAGGAGGGGGGCAGAACAAAAAGGACGAGGTTGAGGATGGCCCGTAGCAAGTCTGCTTCTGGTCCTCTTCAAAATTGATAGATTCGTTTGATCCGTCGACCATCCTTTCGTGGTCTGCCATGAGTCCGCCTTTTAAACCACGAGGTCACGGCTTCAGGGCGAGCGCCTCGGTCAATACTTGAATGTGCAGCTCGCCGAACATCCTATTGCCATCCGCACCAAGTCTGCTACTTATGCTATTGATAGATTCCCCGGGGATGTTTGATCCACAGACCATCCTCGTCGTCCGCTAATGTTTTGCAAGTTGGAGACAAAGAGGCGTGATTGCCTAACTGGGTTACACCGCCACTGACGCGTCGATTCCTCCTTCCTTACCAATGGGGACAGAATCTGATCCCGAGGACTAAGTTTTGATTCCGCAACCGACGATCATTATTTCTCATGCATTCTGCCAGTATATTCTCGTCGTCCACATTCTCCTTCCCGTTCAAATAATTTTCCTCTGTGATGATTCTGCCATCGATATCTTGGTCCGTCTTCGATTGCTATTATTTTCGTTATATTGGTTGGTGCTTCGGGCCCTGGGGGCCTGTGCAGTACATCTACAATGAAATGCCAATAGCTGGCGAGCGTGGACGGATGTGTGGATAGTGCCTTGGTGTGGTACGCGTCGCTCTAAGCGCGGTTGGCTGTATATCTCGTGTCGTGCAAGTGTATATTGACCATATTCCAGCCTTTCATCACGTCACCGTTGTTCAACGGTAGAAGAGCCCCCTCCTGATTAGGACGATGGGGAGGTCGGGGGTTCGACTCCTCCCGGTGGCGCAACAATATGGAGCCGGATCCTCGGGCTGTGCCCCTCGAGCCGCGAGACATATCACTTCGTGGTCCCTCCTGCAATAGTATGTGTCACCCCGGGTTTACCTCGGTCTTTTTCCTTCTTCTCATCCTTCTCTAATTCATTTCGACTGCATTACAGGACACCAGAGGAGGAGAAATCGTTTCTAACGAGCACCGTTTGCATAAGATAGTCTGTCCTCTAAATAATGGCGAAAAGAGTATCGACGATGAACAAGACTCCCACACAGCAGACAGACTGGACACTCGGGTGACACAACACACAAGAGACTCATAACAATTTATCTTCCACATCCACATCGTCCTTTCAAGCCACCTTGACGATCACTTTCTCGCCGCTGACCTTGTTGTTCCCAAGTTGTTCCTAAGCAGATCCAAGCCGCCGATCATCCTCTCGCCGTCCGCAACAAGTCTGCTATTGATCCTATTCATAGATTCCCAGAGGATTTTTGATCCACAGACCATCCTCTCGTCGTCCGATAATGTTTTGCAGAAATCATAAATGTGCAGCGCACGTCTGATCTACTGATCATCCTCTTGTCATCGGCAAAGAAATCTGTTGTTATTAGCTAATCTGCGAAATTTGAGAGACGACTAGATGAAGGCTTCACATCGCGCAGAGAAAACACATCTAATTAATTACATTCCATTTGTACAATACAGTCACAACAGTGTCCATCCGATCTATCTGATATCTAAGAATTTCAAAGTGAAGTCAAGGCTACAAGCTGGTTATACGTCGAAGCTACGCGTTTTGCGCAGGACGGGGCGACCCTCCTTATTCCCGACCGGAGGATTTTGGCCGTTGCGGGGGCTGAAAGGACGACGTGCTTGAAGGTCGCCGGCTTCACCGGGCTGAAAACCATTCAGTCGCTAGGTCTGAGTCAGAGAGAAGTAGGAAATCAACGTACGTGCACGAACTGGGTGCGCTGAGACGTGTCCCCGAGCATAAGCTTAGAATGGTACTACCCATTCGTGTCAGTATATGCATGATTGGAGTGCGAAAAGAATCGACGCACCATGAACGCAGGGGCCAATGTGCCGCCGCCGCACGCATCACCCGAGCGGCGAGGAGGTGACGACTCCAGCTGTTAAATCCCGTTCAATCGTATAAACCAATGAGACAAGAGGAGCCGTACCTCGCGCAGTATCCCGTCCTCCGCCAACGCGAACGGAGCACGGAACGCCCCCGGGGAGATAGTGAGCGGCTACACATCGATAGAGCATCAGCAAGTGAACAGCGTCAGAATACGTAGATGCAGACCAGGGCCCCCGCCGGGATGGCGTCGAGCGACATCTATACCGTCTCGTCAGAATATTATCGGAATCCTCTCGACGATTTGGTGCGCACCTCGAGGGTTGGAGCGAATCCCATACTACTCCGGCCACCCGCCCGGAGCACTTGAGGCGGGGGAGGGAGCCCGGGCGAAGACTCCGGGAGGATGCCGCTCTGGATCTTTTTTTTTGCGGGGCGACGGTCAGTTAAGACGTGATCCCAGCGTACAAGGGAAATCGCACCCATTCTTTCTCCCAGTCGTAGATATCCTCGTGGATATCCTCGGTACTATTCGGGGTGACCATGACCTGAGTACTGAAGCGCTCGGGGGAGCTCTTCACCTGGATAGTCGACGTAAATGATTGGCGGCTCGAGCGGAGAAGACGAGTTCATACAAGCTGCTCCTGTTTCGCAGCAGCCGATTAAACAGTGCATTCTCTGCTAATGCGAGCGAAGCGTACCTGATATGCGGACAAGGGAATATCAACCTGAACAGAAATCTCCGATTCATCCTCGAACGACTCCTCCTCGCTGCTACTCTCGTACATATTACGTGCCTGAAATTGGCCGAGTCAACATGTTCGAATAGGACGTCGACGTCAGCTCATGCTTACTTGAGGCGGCGAATTCGTGAGCAAGAGCGCGTGGACTTCGCGGGCATTGTAAGCGAATTGCAAGTCTGCGTACAGTGTTAAAGTGACATCTCGCTGAGTCAAGAATAAATAACACACCGGCAGGGAGACCACGCTTGCCTCTCGGGACCACCACCGAGGGATTGCGTTTGCCACCACTAAAACTTGTTCGTTTCAACTCGTTCGGTCAGGGGAAAATAGAACGTACAACGCCCTATATGCCCTACCCCCCACTTCGAGAAGAGGGTGAAACATCGGCCGGACTCTCTTCGCAACTTTGGAATCATCACGTCCCTCTTGGTCCCATAATGCGCCGAGATAGATGTAGAAACCGGAATCGACCCGGCCAACATTCTTCACGAGATTCGGGTGAACTTTGTGGAGAATCAATCTGAGAACCGTGTGGCCCACAACAGCATTTTTGAGGGTCTGGAGAATCACAGATGTGTAAACGCTATTTTATACTTTGTTCGAACGACTCTTACATTGGCGTAGCCGGCGGGTTGCCTCGCCAGATCTTCCAAAAGGATCAAGAACACGACACGGTCAAGCGTCGAGGCGCCCATGTCGTATAACAGTCGACGCCTCGCCGCATGTGATTCCGTCAACCGACTCTCGAGCTCGGTTGGGGCAAACGACTGCCAAGTCCAGTTTCCCAACGGCGGAAGGGCGGGTGGCTTGTAGGCCGGGGTGATGATATACGCCTTCACGGCGGCGTTAACGGCGTCCGAGAGTTCGCTTGACATGGTGGACGAGCGCGAGAATGGGCGAGGTGGGGGCGAATACGAAGCGAGGAGTCTACGAGCTGGCGGGGAGCTGGGAGCAGATGGGAGTTGGAGACAAAGAGGCGTGATTGCCTAATTGGGTTGCACCGCCACTGACGCGTCGATCCCTCCTTCCTTACCAATGGGGACAGAATCTGATCCCGAGGATTAAGTTTTGAGTCCGCAACCGACGCAAACCGACGCTCATTATTTCTCATACATTCTTCCAGTACATTCTCGTCGTCCACATTCTCCTTCCCGTTCAAATAATTTTCCTCTGATGGTTCTGCCATCGATATCTTGGTCCGTCTTCGATTATTAGTATTTTCATTATATTGGTCGGTGCTTGGGGCCCTGGGGGCCCGTGCAGTATGTACATCTACAATGAAATGGCAATAGCTGGCGGGCATGGACGGATGTGTGGATAGTGCCTTGGTCTAGTACGCGTCGCTCTAAGCGCGGCTGCCCGTATCTCGTGTCGTGCAAGTGCATACTGACCATAATATTCCAGCATTCCATCACGTCACCATTGTTCAACGGTAAAACAGCCCCCTCTTGATTTATTAGGACGATGGGGAGGTCGGGGGTTCGATCCCTCCCGGTGGTGCAACAATATGGGCCGGATCCTCGGGCTATGCCCCTCGTACCGCGAGACATATCACTTCGTGGTCCTTCCTGCAATAGTGTGTGTCACCCCGGGTTTACCCCCGTTTTTTTTCTTCTCATCCTTGTCTTCAATTCAAATTCCATTTGAGTGCGTGCGGGTCCCTCGGGGCCCATATAGCACTATACATATTGCAGTTAGATATTCTAGCTGGCGAGGAGGGAGGGCGATGGGGCGTGAGGAGGCGGTATGGCAAGGAGAGCGCTTTGAGTGTGTAAAGTAGTGTACGCAAAAGCAGGAGGTCAAGACAGGCGTGAGGATGAGGAAGAATATGTGAATGAGAAAAGGAAATGGAAGAGGAAAAAAAGAAAGCAACCATGTCACAGCGAGTAGCGGGGAAAGCGGCCCGTGGCCTTCACGAACGCGAGGACGGGCCCGGGTTTGGGGTCGGCTTTCGCCGCGAGGAGGAGGCGCAATGAGAGGCGCGCGGTGCCAAGGCGCTGGATGAGAGCGAGGCGTTGGCAACGGTAGATGGGGCATGCAAGGAGGAAGTGGGGGACAGTGTCTAATATATGTTGGCTGGGTTTCAGGAAGCCAGAAGAAGAGAAATTTCCCTGGGACTCGGGAGCCCTGTTCGTCGTTGGTACCCTTTCCAAATCATTTAGAGGATAATGGATTTTATGCAAACGGCGCTCGTTACAAGACAGACAGACTAGACACTCGGGACAGTACAACACAAGAGACTCATAACAATTTTCTTTCTTCCACATCCACATCGCCCTTTCAAGCCACCTTGACGATCACTTTCTCGCCACTGACCTTGTTGTTCCTAAGCAGATCCAAGCCCGTCGCGACACGCTCCTTGAACGTCCCCTGGTCCAGCAGACGGACCCGATTCGGCTGGATGAGCCCCGCCGCCAGCAGCTGTGGCAGTGTCCTGGGCATCAGATTGTCCTTCAGGTACTCGTTCTGCACCAATCCCCGTAAACGCGCTGTGCTGTTTCACAAAGTCAAACGAAGGCAACGCACCTCGCGGTAATTGAATGTCTGCACATACGCGATCCTGGTCTCCGGCGCAAACGGATTCCGCCCCTCGGGGATGGTGGAGTGCATCGCTGCCTCGCCGACCGCGACGGCGTCGCCCTCCTTGATGGACAGGAGGAATGCGACGGTGCCCTGCGGGCTGAGCACCTGCGCGATCTTGACGATCGTGCCCTCCGCCGTGATGGCGTCGAGCGCGAGCGCGATCTGCGGCCCGCCGGCGGTGATGTCCGCCGCGAGTGTGGGGCTGGCGTAGTCGACGACGCGCGTGGCGCCGAGCGCGCGCAGGAATGCGTGGTGCTTCGGGAACGCGGTGGCGACGACGTTGGTGTAGCCCGCAGCGTGGAGGAGCTGCACGGCGTACTGCCCCGCCATCGAGCCGGCGCCGTAGATGAGGATTGGCGTGGCGTGGTTCGGGGGCGGAGTTGGAAGCTGGTGGGTATGGGGAGAGAGAGTTGGTCGAATAGGGTTTAGAAGGCTGTGACGAAGTTATCAGGGATGGTCGCGGCGGCGTCTAGTGGCCAACGCGAACGGAACACGGAACGCCCCCGGGAAGATAGTGAGCGGCTACACATCGGATAGAGCATCAGCAAGAGAAGTGTTTTGGAATACGAAGATATAGAATCAGCTTGAGGGATGATGGCCGAGTTCTGTGTTCTTGAGAGTCTGCAGAGTCGAACTTCTGTAGATACTCATTCGTTGTTTAGAGACCGGCTCTTACTTTCAACCGTCTGGCTTCCCTCGCAGCTCGCCACGAAGGATGATGAAGAGTCGTGTATAGCTGGCGCTGAATATCGTAATCTAAGGTTAATTTTCCCTCAGCCGGGGTGGGAGCGAACATCTTCCACGTCGAATCAGGTAAAGGCACGACATAGTAGGCGGGGCTGATAGCGTAGTATGCCTTGACAGCGGCGATGACGTCCGCCAGCAGGTTGGGTGGGCATGGTGGACGAGTACGAGATCGGGTGGGCGAGATGCGGGCGAGACGGTGGTAAGAGGCAAGCCGCAAAGAAGAATTCATTATTTAGGCCTGATTGGACTGCACCGCCACTGACGCGTCGATCCTGCTTCCTTGCCCGTGGGGAACAGAATCTGATCCCGAGCCTGATTAAGTTTTTTGATTCCGCAATCGACGCTCATTGTTTCTCATATATTCAGATACATTCTCATCCATATTCTCATCGCATCCTCGCGGTTGAATCATACATTTTCTACGTGATGATTCTGGCCGCGGTGTCTTGGTCCGTCTTCAATTATTAGATTTCCATTAGATTAGTGCTTTATTTGCTTTTCCGGCCCTGGGGGCACGTCTACAAATGGCACGGCAGTATCTGGCATGTGGACGGATAGGTAGATAGTGCCTTTGTGTGGTGCGCGTCGCTGGAAATGCGGTTGCCTGTACATCTCGTGCAAGTGCATATTCACCATATTTTAGTCTATCGTCGTGCTCACTATGGTTCAGTGGTAGAACACCCCGTCCTAACTTAGGCGAAAGATGGGGAGGTCGGGGGTTCGATTCCTTCCGGTGGTACAACCGTTGGTGCCGGATCCCGGGGCTGTGCCCTTCGACCGCGAGACATCTCAGTTTAACGTGGTCCCTCCTGCAATGCTGGATGTCAACCCAGGGTACGCCTTGGTTTTTTCTTCTGCTCGCCCTTGTCTAATTCATGTTGCCTGAATTTCAAGAAACCAGAGGAAGAGCAATTGCTTCTGGGAGCCGGGCTCGTCGTCGGTACCCTGTCTAAATCATTTAGAGGATAATGGATTTTATGCACGGTGCTCGTTGCACAACACGAACTGGACACTCGGGGACAGTATATATCTTCAGGGGGTTTACAGCTATCCTAAGTGTTTTGCCGGGAGTGAGGCGCCGAAAGGACGAATAATCGAGTTGCGGAATCGCATGGTTGTTGGGCATGAGCCCTCCGCAGATAAGTTGTTACTAGATAGCAGAATGAGACCATTTTTTCGACTAGGAGGACACCAGAGTCATTGGGACACAGAAGAAACTGAGCACGAGAGCTTGGAAGTGATGCAGTGTTGAGAAGATTTATTGTTTTTATCAGTGCGTCGAGGGATTGAGAAGTTTTGAGGGGATCTTGCCAATTAACCGATCAGCCGATATTTTCATGGCTGCTACGTAAAGGTTTGCCAGTCAAACGCACTCCGCTAAAGTGCATTTATGATTTTTTGACTTTATGCGGGAAAGGCCAGCTTCAACTAGAGCGGGATAGGATCATCGGATTTTGTGGCTCCTGAGCATTTTCCTCCATATGAACAGGATATGGCTGTGCTAGGTAAAGGTGTAATTTAGCGCGCTACGGTGCTAAGTCACAGCTATTTGCGGAACTTAGGGCGCGGCATCTTTTCTTCTGTTTTGGGACATTGGTCGGAGAACCGCTGCCCCGGGCTCAATTCGAGTCAGAAACCCCCGAAATATGGACCGTTCGAATCGCGCTTGAAATGCGCAGAGTATGGTCTCCTCGGATCTCCGAGATTGCCTCAGGGTGGAGATTTCACGGCACTTCTACGCAGAACCACTGTAACTTTGGAAGGAATGGTCTAATTGCCTTCAATTTCGGATATGGCATCCGTACATACGATACCTAGTCAACGATGTACTTTATGCGGTTCTATGGGACCTATCCGTCATTCAGAATGCCACTCTTCGAGGGGTGTAAATGTTGGGCGGGCGGTATTGAGCAAATACACCCATTACAATGATCCGTTGACGATCCTATGATGTCATGCGCTGGGTAATCACCCAAAACACCCAAAACGCTCTGACAGCTATCTCTAAAACGATAGACAATCTTCGTTTTCGAGCAAAGTTCGGCGCCACCGAGCCGAGATCACGTCGTGCCAAAATTATCGCGACTTGGACTCTAGAGACAATGAGACGTAATCTACGGAAATATTAGAAGGCACTCTCCAGCTAGCGATACACGACGTCACGTGCCTCTTCGTATTTCGCGTCGGTCCAAGAATGCGTGATGGTGATTCAAACAATACGTGGCGGGTAGAATGTCGTACCTCTGTCTCGCCTCTGACCCAAACACTAGCGGTGCTTTGGGCGGCGCTGTGTAGAGCCCGAGGCAGTACGGTTCTTTAGGCATGAGGCAAACATGAGGGTGATGGGCTAGTAGATAGCGATAGTCCGGGACTTTGGGGTGGTTGGTATTTATGTCAGGTGCACTATCATGTGCCGCCATAGAGATACTATTGGGCGATATCTTAACAAAGGTGTTCTCGAAGTTCGCCTGTCGCATGGGCTCTTCGGGATCACCTGGTTTGCAGGTCACGTCTTTCTTGACTCTTTTCAGTGCCCAGTGGAAACGAGGTACAGACTGAACTTGAACTCGCTTCTCTGTTCAACTGCAGTGCGTTTATATCTCATATGTTTTCCACACCTGCCTCTGCTGCTAAACATTAAAAGAAGCACCGGAGAAATGCAAAAAGGTGAGGTAAAATGCGGAGCGGTGCTCCGAGCCAAAGTATGACCATGCATGATGTACAATCAGCATGGCTGATTTTGCGAACGGGAATTTGGCGCAGAGGCCTAAGAAAAGCCTCCTTACCCTCGGAGCCCGTCTTTACGACGACCAAATAGGCCCAGCGGCAGCCGTCGACCGGTTTCGGGAACGTACGTATATCTTCGACTTGCCACTCAGGCCTTCTTATCCTTGTCCCAACCCCCACCGATGTCTGCCTCCGTACGAAAGAACAGTGTCACGGCAATCGGGATCCACAAGGCACCCGCCCACCTGTCGAAGCGAGAGTTCGAGGAGAACGTCGACAGGTTGGTGGACTCCATGCTTGAGCTCCCGGAGGCGCAGAAGAACTTACTTTCACTGAACGTCGTGCGTTCCGTTCCGCTGACTGAATGTAAACAGTATCGACGTCAATTACAGATCTTCCAGAACAACCGTGCGGACGCATCCATGAAGGACTTGGGATACCCTGCGGTGCACCCATGTGTCCTACTCATGGCGGAATTTGAAGTACGTCGTCTGCTGTATTATGCATCGCAGCCCTCCTCAACAGCCGCCATGGCCAGACTCTAGATAATTTTCCGGAGGTGACTGCATCCCATCCCCTATGACCTGGAACTATCCCTAATGCCATAGATATAGTTGCTACAATCCCCCGCGCTTAAGCAACTGCTTTCGGACGCCGAGCAATTCCGCTTCGTCTCTGGCTCCATCGCCGCTTCCGTGGATGCCGTTATCAGGATTGATGTGCCCACCACCCTCACTGCAACAGAACGCCGTCTTTGGGTGGGGATCTTCCCAGGTCCTCGCCTTTCGTCGCCGGGTCAATTTAAGGATAATGTAGGGGTACTCTTCGACGCTCTTACCGCACTCCCCGCCTCCCGGAAGAACATGCTCAAGCAAACAACGGTTCGTCCGCCCGCCAGCTCCTTGGCATACAAAAATTCAACTCAGTGTCTCACCAGTGGATAATGAACGACAGTATTGCGCCGCATTTACAGTCAGCAGGCTACCCCGCAGCGGAACAAGTCATTATCACGACGATCGAATATGAGGTGAGGGCAGCCAAAGCGTGATCTATACGGGACCGGCATTGATTGCGATTCTTACACAGGACTGGGATCGCATGATTGAGGTAAGACACCCTTATGGTGGCTTTTTTACTGACCGACTCGGCACCCACCCAACCAGAATTGCACCGATCCGGAAGTTAAAAGCCTCATCTTGAAAGCTAATCAAGACTTTGGGTACAATGTGGACAACATCTGCTTCGGAGCGGATGTTGTCGCCAAAATTAAACACATTTGAGGCAGCACTTGTTATAAGTGTTGAAGTACGTGTCGGCGCTGTCTTGTGTACTACTATGACTACTGCGAGGGAAATTCAGTTCAGTCTCCACCTTCCAGTGCGCTTAGATCGTGAGAAATTAGTCACTAAATTCTTGTATGTAAGCTCAACACAGGCACTACCATATAGCCGCGATAGATTGAGATACGATTGATCGATATCTTAACCAGGTCTCCTCGAAGTTGAACTATCACACAGATTCTTCGGGATCATCCGGTTTCCCGGTCCTCGTCTCTCATGACTCTGTCGCCAATCTCAGTTTCCAACCCAGAGGAATAGGCAAGCCATCGCTCAGTCACATTTCAGCCTAATGATGTTTTGAACTGAACTTGACCTTGCTTCTCCGTTCGGCTGCAGTGTGCATGGGTGTCATACCTTTTGCCGACGGCTCAGCGGCAGCCCGGGCCGTCGGCCGATTTCGGGCACGCGGTAAGTATCATACGTAACCGTAATTACGGTCATAAATGTACCAATAAATTCAACCAAGTCCAGCTATGTCTCAGTCCCACAACTGTGAAGAAATACTCGCCAAGAAACTCCGCCAGGCATGTATTGAGTCAACCGGGCAGCACGGTGCTGCTTTTTATGATTTGTGTGAGTAGCAGATCATTTCCTGCGTTGACAAAATGATCCAAATATAGACGTGTTCTGACCCTTCCTCGCTCATCCATCGGATATCGAACGGTAGACGGTGGTGAGAGGCAAGCCGCAAAGAGGAATTTGGGCCTGATTGGACTGCACCGCCACTGACGCGTCGATCAGTGGTAACAGAATCTGATCCCGAGCCTGATTAAGTTTTTTGATTCCGCAATCGACGCTCATTGTTTCTCATATATTCTGATACATTCCCATCAATATTCTCATCGCATCCTCACGCTTGAATAATACATTTTCTACGTGATGATTCTGCCCGCGGTGTCTTGGTCCGTCTTCAATTATTTAGATTTCCATTAGATTAGTGCTTTAGCTTTTCCGGCCCTGGGGCCACGTCTACAAATGGCACGGCAGTATCTGGCGTGTGGACGGATAGGTAGATAGTGCCTTTGTGTAGTGCGCGTCGCTGGAAGTGCGGTTGCCTGTATATCTCCCGCAAGTGGATATTCACCATATTGTAGTCTATCATCGTGCTCACTATGGTTCAGTGGTAGAACACCCCGTCCTAACTTAGGCGAAAGATGGGGAGGTCGGAGTTTCGATTCCTCCCGGTGGTGCAACCGTTGGTGCCGGATCCCGGGGCTGTGCCCTTCGACCGCGAGACATCTCAGTTTAACGTGGTCCCTCCTGCAATGCTGGATGTCAACCCAGGGTACTATTTTAGCCCCTGATGTGTCCACGCACCCTGATGTGGAGTTATTCTGGATCCCGCCCGCATTTCAAGCCCATTCCGCACGGAAAATTTCAGGGATGTGGGTCCATGCTGTGGTAATCGTTGGATGAGATATTGGGTCAATATGAGCCCTACATCATACAAAAGAGAAGAAATGGAAGGTTTTGATGTGCTTTTCCCACGTGCCAAAACGCCTGCCAAAACCGATTCCACTTCTGGTTCCATTATCGGAAGGTTCGTATCTTCCACCACTCAAGTCCAATAATTCTGGAAATATTTGAGGGTATGAAAAATACATAGATATGCCTATGTCCAGGTGCCGAGAGGAATCTGGGGGAAGGACAGAAAGTTATTGCGCGAGATCAA